ATCAACAAAGCTTTAGCTAGAGTAACTGTGAAAAAGAGCAAAATAAATAAAAGCAGAAACAAAAGGGAAGACATAACAACTGATACCACAGAAATACAAAGTATTATTAGAGGCTATGATAAACCAAAAAGCTAAAATACATAGAAGAAATTGATACATTACTGGAGACATACAAACTATAAAGATTATATCATGAGTAGAAAACTTGTATAGACAAATAATGAGTAATGAGACCAAAGCAGTAATAAAAAGTCTCCCATAAAAGAAAAGTTCATGACCTGATATCATCACTACCAAATTCTACCAAATATTAAAGAAGTAATTACAATTTTGCTAAAACTATTCCGAAAAATTGAAGAGGAAGGAATACTTCCAAACTCAATCTATGGGCTAACATTACCCTGATACGAACATGAGACAAGAACACAATAAAAAAGAAAGAGTAATAGCCAATATCCCTGATAAACACGGATGCAAAAATCCTCAACCCAATTCTACCAAATCAAATACTATCTGACAAAAAGATCATTTCACATGATCAAGTGTGCTTGACCCAAATGTCATAAGAATGGTTCAGTATAGACAAAACAATAAATGTGATACATCACATTAAGAGACTCAAGAACAAAAAGCATATAATAATTGAAATAGATGCTAGAAAAGGATCACACATAGTTCAATACTCATTTAGGATAAAAAAAAAAAAACTCTCAAAACACTAAGTATAGAAGAAATGTACCTCAAAACAATAAAGACCATATATGACATACCACAGCTAACTTACAAAAAAGGAAAAAAAAACTAAAAGCCTTTCATCTAAGATATGGAACAATACAAGGATGCCCACTCTCATTACTCTTATTCACCATAGTGGAAGTTCTAGCCAGAGCAATTAGGCAAGAGAAACAAATAAAGTTTATCTAATTGTAAAAGAAGACATCAAATTATCCTTGTTTGCAGATGCCATGGTATTTTACTAAGAAAAACCTAACGTCTCCACCAAAATACTATTATAATTGATAAACAATGTCAATAGAGTTACAGAATACATAATAAACATGCAAAATATTTGAATACATGATATACATATATTAATAATTTTGTATGTTTTGTGTATGCATGTATATTGACAGTGAAAAAAAAAAAATACGAAGCAGCAGTCCCATTTACAATAGCTACAAAAACCAAAACAACATGGAATACTTTTCCCTCACAAGAAGTGGTCCAAAGCCTGGAAGAAGTTGGTAGTCTATTGGTACAAGGTCTGGTGAATATGGTGGATGACAGAGAATTTCCAAGTACAGTTTCTGTAGTTTGAATAGAGTTGTTTTTTTGCAACATATGGTATTGCAAGAGGATTGACCTATCTCTATTCACCAATCTTGGCTGCTTAATTGCAAACATACTCATCATTTCATCCAACTGGTTGCAGTAGAAAATCTGCTGTAATCAACTGACCAGGTTTCATGAACCTATGGAGGATAAAACCAGTACTGGACCACCAAACAGACACCTCTGGCTTTTTTTGATGAATATTTGGTTTGGGGCTATGTTTCAGCACTTCATCTTTATATAACCATTGTGCCAAATGCTTGTGATTCTCAAAAAGGATCAATTTCTCATCACACATAACAATATGGTGTAGAAATGGTTCGCCTTTATGTTGTGACTGCAAAGAAAGGTGAGCTTTGAGACAATTTCTCTTCTGATGCTCATTTAATTCATGTAGTACCAATCTGTTCAACTTTTTTACCTTGCCCATTTGTTTCAAATGGTTCAATATTGTTGGAATAATGTGAAAACTTGCTAATTCATGCAAAAGTTGAGATAGATTAGCTTACACTACAGCTCTCAGCTCATTATCCACCTTGGTTTCAGGTCACCCACATGGCTCATTTTCACAATTAAAATCACAAGAATGGAACTTCTCAAGTCATTGATGTACTGTGCATTCATTAGCCATATCCTTCCCAAATACTTCCTTGGTATTTCAAGCTATCTGAGCTGCACTGGTTCCATGATGGAACTCATACTCAAAAATAACATGAATCCTTTACTTATCCATGGTTTCACAAAAGTTGCTCTAAAAAATTTGAAACATAATCACAAGTCAAAACATGCATTTGAAAGAATGAGGACATACCTGCACAACAACAACAAAAGAAAAACAAGAAGTGTGAAAGTAAAATGTCAGGGATATCAATTTCAAACTTAGTACTTAAGGAAATTGGACATTCCATACTTAATAACTTAATTAAAAGCTTCTGTACAGCCAAGGACACAATCAATAGAGCAAATAGACAACCTACAGAAAGGGTGAAAATATTTGCATGTTATACATCTGATAAAGGGCTCATAACCAAAATCTACAAAGAACTCTAGCAAATCAGCAAGAAAAAAATCAAACAACCCCATTAAAAAATGGGCTAGAGACATGAAAAGACAAAAGAAGATAGACTAATGACTAACACACGCATGAAAAAATGCTCTACTTCTCTAATCATCAAGCAAATGCAAATCAAAACCACAATGAGACATCACCTAACTCCAGTGAGAATAGATTTTATCAAAAAGTCCCAAAACAACAGATGCTGGTGAGGATGCAGAGAGAAAGGTACACTCATACACTGTTGGTGAGACTGCAAACTAGTACAACCTCTATGGAAAGTAGTACGGAGACACCACAAAGATCTAAAAGTAAATCTACCATCTGATTCAGCAATACCACTACTAGGTATTTACTGAAAGGAAAAAAAGACATTTTATTAAAGACACTTGCATTTCAGTGCTTATAGCAGCACAATTTGCAATTGCAAAGATGTGGAATCAACTCAACTGTCCATCAATACATGAGTGGATTAATAAAATGTGGTGTATATATACAATGGAGTACTACTCAGCTATGAGAAAATGGTGATCTAGTATTTTTTGTATCAACCTGAATGGAACCAGAGGCCATTCTTCTGAGTGCAGTATCACAAGAATGGAAAAACAAACACCACATGTACTCAATACTAAATTGGAACTAATCAATCAACACTTACATGCACATATGGAAGCAAAACTCAAGGGAAATCAAGTAGGCAATGGGTAAATTCATACCTGACAGGTAAATTGCACACGGACTAGGTAAAGGGCATGCTTTTGTAGAGACTGTATTCAATCTATACAAAAGCAAATATGTAACCAAAACATGTGTACTCACATAAAATCCTAAAAATAAATAAATAAAACTAAAGATGGGCAAATAGTCTAAATAGATTATTTCTCAACTGAAGACATATAAATGGCCAAGGCCTATGTGAAGAAATGCTCAAAACACTAATCACCAAGGAAATGCAAATCAAAACCATAATGAGATATCATCTCACCCCAGTTAGGATAGCTATTGTCACAAAGACAAAACATAATATATGCTGTCAAGGATATGAAGAAAATGGAATTCTTTTTTTTTATTATTAGTTTTATTTTATCATATTATGGGGGTACAAATATTGTTAGGGTTATATATATTGCCCATGCCGTTCCTCCCCCCACCCCCTGCCTTACCAAAACATCAAGGGTGCCTTCCCCCAGGTGGTGCGCATAGCACCTATTTTGTAAGTGTAAATTCTTCCCCTCCTTCCCCCTCCTATCTGTCCACCACCCAATAAAAGTTTGTTTGTTTTTTCTTTTTTTGACCTTTGGGTTACATTGTATATCTTTGCCTTTCCCTAGGAAGGGTTAGAGGTATTCCCTCCACCCACACACAATGCTCACCACAACCCTAAGATGTGTATCTCCCCCTCCCCCAAACCCTGGTGGGCACTACCACCACTTGAGCACCATAGTTTTAATCAGTCAGTACCAATTTGATGGCGAGTAGATGTGGAGCCCGTTTTCTTGATCTTGTATCACCTCACTTTGGATAATGGGCTTAAGCTTAATGCAGGATAGGATAAACGGTGCTAGCTCACTGTCATTTCTAAGAATTGAGTAGTATTCCATTGTGAAAATGGAATTCTTATAAACTACTGGTGATAATGTAAACTAGGACAGTCCTTATGGAGAACAATATGGAGATTCCTCACAAAACTATACACAGAACTACCATAGGATCCAACAGTCCCACTACTGAGTATTTATCCAAAGAGAAGGAGATCATTATATCAAAGAGACATCTGCATCCCCACATTCATCGCAGCACTATTCACAGTAGCCAAGACATGGAATCAACCTACATGTCTGACAACAGATGAATGCATGAAGAAAATGTATTATTTTAAAATATAGTATTATGTATTATTATAAAATTTAGTATTGAGTACACATGGTATATATACACAATGGATTACTGTTTAGCCATAGAAAAAGAATAAAATTGTCATTCACAGTAACATGGATCAAACTGGAAGACACTATGTTAAATAAAATAAACCAGGAAAAGAAAGGTAAGAAGCACACGTGCTCCCTCATATGTGGAAGCTAAAAAAGTTGATCTTATAAAAGTAAAAAGTTGAAGATAGGATATTAGAGGCTGGGAAGAGTAAAGGGAAGGAAAGATTGGGAGAGATTTGTTAAATGAAACAAAATTACAGCTAGATAGGAGGAAGAGATCTCAGTGTCTATACCACTGTAAGATAACACTAGTTAGTAATAATGTATTTTATAGCTTCAAATAACTAGATGGAGAATATAGAATGTTCCTAACACAATGAAATGATAAATGTTTGAGATGACGGACGTGCCAATTACCCTAATCTGATCACTATACATTATACGTATAGAAACATCACTATGTATTCCATGAATATGTATAATTATTATTTGTCAAGTAAACAATGAAAAAATTTAAACATTTCCACCCATAAAACCTAGACAGAATTTTCTTGTACGTATTTCAACATGATTTCACTTACTGTCAATATTCTGCATGGTACTCAGTCATATTTGAAATATAACATTTATGAAAAAGATAAACTACAACAAATGTATTAATCAATTTCCTGGTTATCACTTACATCTGCATTACCACAATCACAGACTTCATTTCCTTCCACTACAGCATTGCCACAGACTGCTCTTGCACGAATTTGCATTTGTGGCTTATTCTGAAGACATCTGGCACCCACATTTGAAACAAAATGCTTAAAGTCACTAAAACTGCAACTGCTGAAAGTCTTCATGCCACTGAATTGCCTAAAGATGAATCCATACAATGTCATTGGCAGTGTATATCTGCAAACACAATTCTATCTTATACAAATTAAGTTTAAAATGTTAAGGTTTTTTTTTTTTTTAAACAGTCTCACTCTTTCACCCAGGCTGGAGTGTGCAGTGGTGTGGTCATGGCTCACTGCAGCCTCCAGCTCCCGCCTCAAGCAATCCTCCTGTCTCAGACACCCAAATATCTGGGACTACAGGCATGTGCCGCCACAACCAACTGCTTTATTCATTCATTTATTTATTTATTTTACTTTTTGTAGAGACAGCATCTCACTATGTTGACCAGGCTGGTCTGGAACTCCTGGCCTCAAGTGATTCTCTCGCCTTGGCCTTCCAAAATGCTGGGATTATAAGCATGAGACATGGCACTCAGCCTCAAAAGGTTAAATTTAACAGGCAATGATAAAATGTTTATAATAAATGCTCAGAGGCCAAAATCATTCTTAAGGGGGTCATATGATTATATTCACTGGAATACATGTCCTTATAAAACAAAATTAAGCACAACTCAAAAACCCAAATAATGCAATTCAAAAATAAGCTAAGCACTTGAACAGACATTGCTCCAAATAAAAATTAACACCCAATTAACAACAAATTTTATTAAACAAATAATACTGTGCTTATTCCTGAGCTTCCTCAAAGATCACAGGAAAACTGTATATTCATCGAGATTTTATGTAATTATGTCCATATACCACTAACAAAGATAACTTCAAAGAATATTTCCATAGGAGAAATCAGTTTCAATATATAGTAATAATCTGTAAAGTAAAAAGTAAACTGACATTTATTGCATGCCTATTATATACCATATATATATATATGTATATATATATATGATTATTTAATCCTCACCACAAACCAGAGAGGTTGGTATTCCTATTATTTTATATAAATTAGAGTTCAGAGGAGCCAAAATGCTCAAAATTCAGATAGACTGCAAATTGCTAGGATGAGCATTCACAGTTATTCCTTTAATTGTATATATTTATGGGGTACAACATGATGCTCTGACATACGTATACATGGTGTGGAATGATTCAATGAAGCTAATTAACATATCTTTTTCTCTGTTCCAACAACATTTAATATTTACTCTTTTAGAAAATTTCAAGTATCAGTACATTATTGTTTACTATTATCACTATGCTGTAGAAATTCACAATACCTGAGATAGGAAATCAACCTAAGTGTCCCTCAATGTATAAATGGGTAAAGAAAATGTGGTATATATACAGCAGAATACTATTCAGTCTTTTAAAAGAAGGATAGCCTATCATTTGCATCAACATGAATGAAACTAGGGTATATTATGTTCAGCAAAATAAGTCAGACACAGAAAGAAAAATACTGTATGATTGCAATTATATGTGAAATCTAACATATAATTAGACTCTGGAAACTCCTCTGAAGAAAGATGGGTACAAACAAGACCAGACTGTGAAGACTAGAATAAATACCTAATTCTTCAATGCCCATACATTGATGTATTTCTTGTTATACATCTTGTGGATGTATTAACAACTTGTGGAACACGGAAATATGATCTCACCAAATGGAATAAATAAGGACAAGTGACCAAACCTGGGGAGATAGAGATGACTAAACTCACAAAGAGATTTCAAAATAGCTGTTTTGAGAAAGCTCAAATAACAAAGAGGTTAAAATAATTTAAAAAAACAAAAACAGAAATACTAAAGCTGAATAATACAATAAACAAATTGAAAAACGTTTTAGAGGGTCTCAAAGCAGAAATGATCAAACAAAAAAAGAATTGGTGAGTTCAAACACAGAATATTTAAAAATACACAGAATAAAAAAGAAAAAGGAACAAAGAACACTCATGAGGTCTATGAGAAAGCAACAAAATTAAAATGTAAGAATTGTTGGCCTTCAAAGGAAGTATAGGAAAAGAAAGGTGTAGAAAGGTTTAAAAAAAAAATGGAAAACTTTCTAAACCTAAAATATAAATATCCACTTACAAAAACACCAAGCATATTCAACCCACATAAGACTACCTCAAGGCATATAAATAATCAAATTCTCAAAAGTCAAGAACAGAGAGAATCCTAAAGCCACAAGAGAAAAAAAGCAAATAGCGTAAGAAGGAGCTCTGATACGTCTGGCAGTAGACTTCCCAAAAGTATTAAAAATAACAACTATAACACTTTTTAACATAAAGACAATATAAAAATATGTAAATTCAAAGACAAAAAATCAAAATGATGGGAATAAAGTATAGAGATTTTTTAGGTTTTGTTTCTCTCATTCTTTTCTTTGTGATCAAATAACAGCTTATGAAAAACACAACAAATAATAAATGTTGTCAAGGATAGACTAAAGTCAAAATCATGCATTCTTGGTTGGACTATAAATGATAAAATCATTATGGAAAACTGTATGAAGTTTCCTCCAAAAAACTAACAATAGAGCTACCATATGATTCAGCAATCCACTGCTAGTTATATAACCAAAGGAAATGGAATCAGAATGTTGACCCCCAGGTTCATTATAGCACTGTTCACAATAGCCAAGATAACAGAATCAACCTATATGCCCATCTACAGATGAATGGATAAAGAAAATGTCACACACACACACAATAGTACACTATTCCACCATGAAACAGACAAAAATCCTGTCATTTCCAGCAACATGGATGAAACTATGGGTACTATGTGTTAAGTGAAATAACCCAGGCACAGAGACAAACACCACATGACCTCATTCATATGTGGAATCTACAGAAGTTAATTTTATCAAAGCAGAGAGTAGAATGTTGATTACCAGATGCTGAGAACAAAAAAGAAGAAGAAAAGACTGGAATAGGGTTGGTCAATGGGCACAAAATTATAATTAAATAGAAAGAATAAGTTCTGGGGTATAAAGTTACAATAAAACAGGAAGAATAAGTTCTGGTGTTCTATTACATAATAGGCCAACCATATCAAATAGCAGCATAAAGCATCTTTCAAGATAGGTAGAAGAACAAAATAATGCCCAACTTAGAATTTTGTATTGAGCAAAACCAACCTTCTTAAATAACAGAGAAATAAAGACTTTCACAGACAAATAAACATTGAGGAAACTTGTCAAGACGAGACCTGCCTTGCAGGAAATACTCAGATCTGCATTATACACTGAGCAGCACAATGGATATCCATCATTGTAAAATCACCCAAAAGCTAAAGGTCAGAGCCCAGAAACCACAATGGCTCAACAGGTACAATAGAGTAATAAAATTCTACTGAACAGGAAGAACAGAAATCCACCCCACTTCTCAATTCTTTCAATAAATGTGAATGGCTTGAACTACCCACTCAACAGACATAGACTGGCTGAATGGATTAAAAAATACAAGCCTAGTATCTGCTGTCTCCAGGAAACACATCTAACACACAAGAACTCATTCAGACTGAAGGTGAAGGGATGGAAAAATGACATTTCATCCATATGGACACTGAAAAAAGTGGGGTAGCCATTCTCATATCAGATAATATAGACTTCAAACCAACAAAAGTAAAGAAGAACAAAGATGTTCATTATATAATGGTAAAGGGAACAATCCAAGAAGACTAACAATTCTAGATATTTATATGCCTAGCACAGGAATGCCCAAGTTGATAAAGCAAATCCAACTTGATTTAAACAACATGATAAAGAAGCACCATAATACCTGGAGACTTAAACACCCCTTTGACAGAACAGGACAGATCCTACAAATAGAAAATAAACAAAGAAAAAAATAACTTAAACAGAACTCTAGAACAAATGGGCCTAAAATACATTTATAGAACATTCTACCCTAAAACCACCGAATATATGTTCTCATCAGCTCACAAAACATTGTCTAAGATTGATCATAGCCTAGACCACAAAACATGACTCAAAATTTTAAAAAATAGAATTATACCATGAATGTGCTCGGACCACAGTGGAATAATATTAGAAATCAACTCCAACAGAAACATTCATCTCTATACAAAGACATGAAAACTAAACAACCTACTGCTGACCAATAGCCAGATCAAGGAGGAAATTAAGATGGAAATCAAAAGATTCTCTGAACTAAATAATAAACAAGAAGCAAGTTATCAAAATCTGTGGGACACAGATAAGCAGACATGAGAGGAAAATTCATAGCCATAAATGCCTACATCCAAAAGGCAGAAATATCACAAATAAACAATCTAATGAATTGTCTCAAGGAACTGGAAAAGGATTAGCAAACCAAACCCAACTCCAGCAGAAGAAAAGAAATAACCATGATAAGAGCAGAACTAAATAAAATCAATAAGAATTACAGTACACAGTATGAGTGTAAGATATTAAAGAGGACATGAACACATAGAAAGACATCACATGCACATGGAACAGAAGAATTAATGTTGTTGTAATGACCATACTTCCCAAAGCAATCTACAGATTCATTGCAATTGCTATCAAAATACCAATGATATTCTTCACATAAATAGAAAAAGCAATCTTAAAATCTGTGTGAAACCATAAAAGACCCCAAATAGCCAAAGCACTACTGAGCAAAAATAACAAAGCAGGAGATGTGACAATACCTGACTTCAAAATATATTAATACTACAAAGCTGTAACAACAAAATCAGAATGGCATTGATATAACACCATACACATAGATTCATGGAACAGAATAGGAAACTCAGAAATAAATCCATTTATTTAGAGCCAACTGATTTTCTTCAAAGGTACCAAGAACATACATTAGTGCTGGAATTAACTGAATATCCCATATGCAAAAGAATGAAACTGGAACCCCATGTCTCACTATATACAAAAATCCACTAAAAACGGATTAAGGAATTAAATATAAGGCCCCAAACTATAAAACTACTAGAAGAAAACATGGGGGAAATATTTCAGGACATTGTTCTAGGCAAAGACTTTATGGCTAACACTTTGAAAGCACACACAACAAAGATAAAAATAGATAAATGGGGCTATATTAAACTAAAAAGCTTCTGCACAGCAAAGGAAACAATCAACATACTGAAGACACAACCTACAGAACAAGAGAAAATATTTGCAAACTATTCACCTAACAGGGGAATATTATCCAGTATACAAGGATCTCAAAAAACTCAACACAAAGAAACAAACAATCCCATGTAAAAATGGACAAAGGAAATGAATAGACATTTCTCAAAAGAAGACATGCAAATGGCTAAGAGGTATATGAAAAAATGTTCAACCTCGCTAAGCATTAGAAAAATTCTAATCAAAACCATAATGAGATATCATCTCACCCCAGTTAGAATAGCTATCATCAAAAAGACAAAAACAAAACAAAACAAAACAAAAAAACCAAATACCAGTGATGATGTAGAAAAAAAGGGAACTGTTACATACTGTTAGTGGAGATGTAAATTAGTATAGCCACTGTGAAAACAGTTTGGAGGTTTCTCAAAAAACTAAAAATAGTACTACCATATAATACAGCAATCCTATTACTGGATATTTATTCAAAGGAAAGGAAACCAGTATAACAAAAAGATACCTGCACCCCCAGGTTTACTGTAGCACTATTCAAAATAGGCAAGATATGGAATCTACCTAAATGTCCCTCAGCAGAAGAATGGATAAAGAGAATGTGGTATATATCCCCTTGAATTGCTATTCATCCATAAAAAAAGAATGAAATCCCATCATTTGCAGCAATGTATATGGAACTGGACATCATTATGTTAAGTGAAATAACTAAGGTAAATACTAATCACATGTTCTCGCTCAGATGTGGGAGTTTAAAAAGTTGATTTCATAGAGGTAGAGAGTAGAAAGATGGCTTCCAGAGGCCAGGAAGGGTGGGGAAGTGGATGAAAAGAGGTTGGTTATTGAGTAGATACATAGAAAGAATAAGTTCTAGTGTTCAATAGCAAAGAAGGGTTACTAGAGTTAACAATAATTACTGTACATTTCAAAATAGCTAGAACAGAAGATCTGATATGGACCCAACACAAAGAAATGAAAAATGTTTGAGTTGATGGATGTTCTAAATACCCAGCTTTGATCATTACACATTCTATGCATGCATCAAAATATCACCACATATACCCCATAAATGTGTACAATTATTAGGTATGCATAAAAATATTTTTTCAATAAAAATAAATACAGATATACAGTATTACCCAAAAATGATATATTAGAAGGAAAAATAAACTATAAGAATGAAGTCTGTACAAATACATACTAATGTTCTCTTGCTATGTGGTTTAAGCTAATGCCAATGTATTAACCTGTCTTCCATATGAAGTGTGGAGTGGAGAACAGAAATTTAGAATTAGATAAACCTGTTGCCTAATACTAACCCTATGATGTAGAGTAAAGTGATTAAATTCTCTATGTTTTCTCATCTACATAATAGGAATAATATCCATCTACCCCATAGTGTTATTCTGAGGATTAAATATGATTAAACAAGTGAAGTGCCTAATTCAATTCTCTGGCTTATAATAAGTGGCCAATAAATAAAGTAGTACTGATAATATCTGCTCAAGTTTGGCCACTAATTAAGTATGTATCCAACGTAGAGTCACTTAGATTATGTATACTCCAGGGATATTTTTATAAACACATCAAATGAAAATAGTAACATTTATCTTATTTACATCCCTTCTTTGAGAATGAACATAAAATAATGTGCAAGATGTACTATGGAAATGCAAAAGAGTTATACATATGTGGCATTGTTAAATTTTATAAAAATTATTGTAAGAAGTTGGAGGTCATATTTAAAATAACTTTAAACATAATTTTTTTATAAAGTACCATATGAACCTAAAGGTTTATTAACACAGATTCAAAACCCAGGCCTGCCACAACTAGCTACCTGAGTAAGAGTAATTATCTTTCTATAGCTCAGTTCTCATCTGTAAGAATGGGAATAGTAGGACCTGCCCTACAGAGATGTTGTGATAATCAAATGAGTTAATATATGTAAAGTGCTTGGAATGGTCTCTAGCACATTGTAAGTACAATGTAATATTTGTTAACCTTATTACCATCAATATGTTAAGCTTTGAGTGACCCACACAAAACATCTTGTCATAGCATACTTCAAAATTGTTGGCCGAACAATAAGCCCAGGCTACTTATTCTCATATTGTTATGATATATATGTATATATATTCCATTTATCTATCTATATGTATATATATATACCCATTATATATCCATATATGGATATATGTAAATATATGGATATGTGGGTATACATATCATTCCTTTTAGAGCTAATTTGTAATATAATTGTGTGTGTGTGTGTGTGTGTGTGTGTGTGAATTTGAGCTAGTTTTAGAATATAAGAGTTAACTTTTAGGAGGTGCTTAGGAGTAACCATGAAAACAATGTTTTCAAAAAGTAATGCCTTATTCTCACTTTTAACTTTTGATTGGTCTTCAGTAATAAATAGGTTATACCTATCATAAGCTATTTTTCACAAACATAAAAATTGTAAAATACTAATGACACCTGCCATAGCTCTTGTCTGATATACTATTTTAGGAACACTGGTAAATTTAGAAATTACTGTAATTAGAAATTATCCATCACATATTTGCAGAATTTTACAGTTTAGAAGACATTTCCCATTTTACCTTCTCATTTTATTCTTACATCACCCTGTGAAATAAGAGAATAGGCATAATTATTCCCACTTAAAGATGAGAAAAGTAAATCTAAGCAAAGTTAAGTTATTTCTCCAGTCACACAAATATGATATGTTTAATGTTGGTCTCCAACTAGGACTTCTTATTCTTTTGGGAGATAGTTTTTTCACAACATCAAACTATTCTAAAAGCAAAGTCAAAACTTTTGTCTAAAACAAATGCCACTTATTATGGACTGCTGACACGTTTTTAAAGATCCTTACTAAGTGCACTCATCAAATACACATACTAAGGAAAATTCTTTTGTAACCTATATTGCAGATTGGATTTGTTATCCTTGACTGTCTTTAATGGTACACCTTCCTCCATATGACACTTACATTTAAAGTCACATTTTGTAGTGAACTTGGTCCATTTATAGCTACTTTGTGCTATAAATACTAAAATATTTCACTTCAAACATTTAAAACAAAATAAACATAACCAATAAATAAGCTTGTTTAAAAAACTTACATAGCATCTGGATTCATTATACAGGTGGATTCTGAACATTGACATTTCTTTGGGTCATCATATGATATTCCCATACTGAGTGCCAACAGCTGGGTCACAATAACGGAAAAGGCCTCCAGAGTTATCTCCTTGGGATACTGCAACAACAACAAAGAAAATTCAGAGGAAAGACAATTCATTGAAGGGCGGTAAAAAAATATTTTTCTAATGGTGAATATTTTGATTATTTTGTCAAATTCTTAAGAATAGGGAGATAGGGTTCCATGAGCAGCTGAAGCTCTTCTTATTAAGTTTCACAGAACTGCAAACATAATGAGTCTATGCCAAGCAATGCCATAATTTAACAATCGAACACCTAACATAATTCTTAGGTAGCTACCATAACTATATAAAAGGGCTGGTTTTGATGAAGAAAATGTACATTAGACTTTTAGCTATATGGACCATAATCTTCAATTCACCCAATTTCTTACAACAGCTCTGACATTCATTTCAAACAGTCCATGCGATCTCCTCCCGGCTCATGAAGTGGCCACATAACCAAGTTACCCAATTTAAGTTGTGCTGCCCACTGCCTGCTGGGACTGTCACTGATGTAGTGACCGGTGTCAAGAGAAACCACAGAAAGCAGATCCTAGAGATAACATTCCTGGATTAGGCTGCTTGTGCATTTAACAAGTGTACAGATAACTCCCTTGCCAAGGAGAAATGGGATGCTGGTAATTCCTAGTATGCAATGACATCATGATTTCTCAAATTACCACCAAAGTTGGCATAAGATAAGGGATAGGAGAGGGCTAAGTTGTCAGGAATATCAAGGCACTTAATTGCTAAGGTGACAATAGCAATAATAAAGATTTTGGTGTTAATTATTTTCTTATGACAGCCCTAAAGGATGCACATAATGAACAGTAGAAAGGGAAAGCTGTGAATGAGCAACTGAAAATGCCAATAGGTGATCAGAAACTTCTGCAGCAGCACTAAAGTAACTTCTCATCTCCTGTCATTGTGGATTGACATGACTGAGGACCAAGCCCAAATCCCCCAGGTTAGGTAGGGAAAGCACTGGAATCTGAAACTTGGAATCAGAACAGTTAGAGCAACATGGACAAATATCTCCATGCTTCCCCTGCCAGCAGAGGAAGCCCTCTCCAAACAAAAAGAAAGCCTGTGCATTAGAAAAACAAAGTTTTGACAACAATACCTGGGACATTTGTCTCACTACCCCTCACTGCCTCCAGATCCATATTAAGAATTAAATCCCAACATGGTCTTGAAGGAGAAATATAAATGTCCTGCTCTGAGAGGGGCTAATTTATACTTTGAAAGAGATTGATCAAAGAGTAGAAAAATCGAAGGCTGGACTAGAACAAATTTATTGAAATGGGTGACTCATCTAGGATTTTGTATTTAATGTGTTGAGTCAAAGCAAAAGTCATGTTAGTATTCTACCAGGAAGGCTAACTGAAGTTGGACGTAAATAGCCTACTGTCAGTGAGGTCAAAACACTAGAACTTCCCTGGCATACTGTATGGTTAAGAAGTGCTGAGTTTCAGGAATACAGCAATATTAAGTGACTCTACTCCATGCTACCAGTTGGGTAACTACCTTTAAATAAAGCTCCAGGGAGGGTTAGAAGGATACCTCCTTCACAAAGACATTAAGAAACATTTCAGTGAAAGGCACACCCAAAATCTCTCAGTTGTATTTTATAGAGAGATGATGGTGGAAGACAGTGCAATGGAACTTGGTTCTCTGAAATCAATGGGAATAATGGGACCAGGAGTGGTATAGGCAATGTGGCAGGGCTTAACCAAGACATGGTAGGTGCAATCACCACAATAAGCTAGAGGGACTTAGACATGATCAAAGTTTATTGGCCCACAGGGATTGTGGTAATTATTTCAGAGACCCTAAAAATAAAAAAAAAAAATATATGCCTGATACTGGCATGATACTGAAGGTGTTCTTGACATTCTAGGTCTTGTGGCAACAACTTAACATGAGTTGCTGTGACACAGATTCCCAGCCCTAAACCAGTTCACAACCTCAGAGATTCTCAACTGAAGAGAGCACCTTTGAGGAAGAAGCCTGCCATGCAGTTGTAGGTGAAACTATGCCTATTCCCCCAAGCCTTCCCCAGAAGAACCTATGGCCATTGAAAAGAATGACTGTGCACACAAGAAAAGAAAGTATCTAGGAATTTGGGGGCTTACTGTATTCTCAGACAGAAGTGAAGGTACCCTGGAAAACTGAGTATCACCTCAGTCCACTGGTCAAAGTGGAGGCTTATGGAAGTAAGGTGGTCAGTAGGGTCTTGTTTCAAGTTCATCTAACAGTGAATACAAAAGAACAGCAGATACATCCTATATTATTTTCCAAATACCAGAATTATGGCTGGAATAGAAATGCTAACAGACACTGGTCCCCAACCAATGCAGCAAGAGCTACTATGATACAGAAGGCCAAGGGGAAGGTCCTGGAACCACTCCCAAGATGATAAATCGTAAGTCATATGGCATCCCTGGGGGAATTGCATAGATCAGTGCCACCATCAAAGTTTGAAGTTGTAGGAGTAATGGTGCGTGCATATCACATCATCGTTTAGCTTGTTTTCCTGGCATGAAGTCCAAATGAAAGGTGGAGAAAGACTAAATCATTGCAAACTTACCTTGTGGTGATGGCAAAGACACGGGATTCTCAATGTGGTATTTTTATTGAAACAAATCACCACAGCCTCTTGCAACTGATATGGAGCAAATGACCTAGAAATCCCTCCCCTTTTATCCATCAGCAGCAAAAACAATCAAGAAGAGTTTGCCTACAACAAGGGGGTAGTGGTATGGGATCAGTTACCCTGACTCATGGCTATGTCAACTGTCCTCTCCTGCTCTCTGTGACAAAACAGACCAGAGAGACCTTTATCGTTCAGCCCACAAAACATCACACCTGCTCCATTATCTTGCTGATAATATGCTTACTAGGCTTGATGTGCAGGAAGTAGCACATATCATAAATGTTTTAGTAAAATAACTGCATGCTGGAGAGCAGGAGTTAAATTCTGCAACAGTTCAGTAGCCTACCACAGTGGCTAAGTTCCTAGGGTACGACATACCAGGGCATCTCTTCTAAAATTAGAGAAGTTTATGTACTTTACATAGCCCACTACAACAAAAGAGGAACTATCTTTGATGGCCTTATTTGGATATCATTGCAACATATGCCATGTTTGGATGTGCAGCCTTGAATCATTTGCCATTTATTGTATTAGCAGCTCCTGGCTTGATACCCCAGTAAAGTTTGAAACCCTGACCATTAGCACAAAGTGGCCATGACCCAAATGTCTCATCATACAGTAGACGTTCTTTTATCCACAAACCATAAAGCTGGATATTCACAGTAACACCACATTGAACAGGTCTAGAAAGCACAACTGCACAAGCAGGTATCTCAGACTCCCATGGTACCAACGTGTTCCTTTTGCTGCCTCTCCCACAACTCAACTGCTCTTTGTGACACTGAATGGACACCCGTTGTTAAAAGAGGAGGAAAAAGCATGGACTTTGTCTATGATTGTACTGGCAAGACATGACAGCAGCATCCAGAAGCGGTACCACCGCCTTATTGAATAGACCAAATGGGCATAAGTCCAGGCAGCACCTCTGGTTGTCCGCTTTCCTAAAGGAGATGGCCTGAGGTGCTGACTCATGGGCAGTTGATAATGGGTTGGCTGGCTGGTCAGAAACTGGGAAAGAATAAGGTTTGTTGGTTACAAGGAAGTCTAAGGAAAAGATAAGTATATAAGTATATAAACCTCTCCTATCATACAATATCCACTGTAGAGCCTCAAACATTACATTCATTCCTCCCTGGTCACCTCAGTGCTTACTCAAATGACCAATGAATTAAAGTCGCCATGGCTGCAGAGGGCAGCTTTACATGAGCTCAGCAAACTCCTCTTACTGAAACCGACATGGCGTTCTACACAACTAAGCACGCTGTCTGCCACCAACGTCCGACCTGCCAATCATGAGCCCCCACCACGGCACAACGCCCCGCTGGATTAGCCAGTCAACTGGAGATAGGGTTACTGCAATCGGCCACTCATCCGTTCAAGGGTGAAGACCTGTCCCCACATATTCCAGGTGCAGGTTTTCTTCGCCCGTCTTCAGTGTTTCTGCCAGCACCACAATCATGTGCTTACAGAATGGCTCCCACATCACCACACAGCATCACTTCTGACCAGGGTCACATTTTGTGGCACAGTATTTATGGAAATTGGTTCATTACTACAAGATTTACTTATCACATGTCCATAACCAAGAAGCAGCTGGCTTAATGGGAAGGTAAAATGACTGGCTAAAGACTCAGCTGTGGCCCAGGTAAGTGACAATATCCTGAGAGATGAGAAGAACGCCATTAATGGTTTTATCTTTTTTTCTGGTCAAGTGAAGCAGTGTAATGACTTTATTAATAAAAATACCCTAAAGGAGTAGCCTAAACTTGATGCCATTTCCCCCATAGCCATTAGGCATGAGTTTGAGAGTAGAATGGGGTGATGATGGAAGTGGCTCCTCTCACTATAAAACCAAATAACTAACCTACTGAATAAATTTTTATTTTATATATTGGAGGACCCTAAGTTCAGTACATTTGCATACTAGTATCTATGAGAAGAAAACTTTTACCAGAGAACATAATCATGGCACCATTAAATTAGAAGCTCCCATTTTAGGTTCTTTTTTTTTTAATTATATCATATTATGGGGGTACAAATGTTGTTAAGGTTACATATATTGCCTTGCCTCCCCTTCCCCCAAGAGTCAGAGCTTCAAGCGTGTCCATCCTCCAGGTGGTGCACATCACACTCATTATGTAACTATACACCCATCCCCTCCCCACCTCCCACCCACCCAACATGCAATAAATGTTTGGTTTTCTTTTTGACATTTTGGTTACATTTCATATATCTTTGTCTCTACCTAGGAAGGGTTAGAGATATGCCCTTCCCTTCCACAATGCTCACTACATCCCTGAGATGTGGGTCTACACCCCCTAAGCCAAATCCCTGGTGAACACCACCACCATTTGAGCACCATCAGTTAATCAGTGTTAATCAGTCAGTACCAATTTGATGGCAGGTACATGTGGAGCCCATTTTTCTCATCTTGTATCACCTCACTTTGGATAACGGGCTCAAGCTTTATCCAGGATAGTATAGGCCGTGCTAGCTCACTGTCATTTCTTAGAAATGAGTAATAGTCCATTATGAACATATACCAAATTTTAATGATCCACTCATGAATTGACGGCACTTGGGTTGTTTCCATGTCCTTCCAATAGTGAATTGTGCTGCCATAAACATTTAGGTGCATATTTCTTTATAATACAATGTCTTATGCTCTTTTGGGTAGATGCCTAATAGTGCTATTGCTGGATTGAATGATATTTCTATTTTTAGCTGTTTGAGGTATCTCCAAATTCTTTTCCACAAAGGTTTCACTAATTTGCAGTCCCACCAGCAGTGTAAGAGTGTCCCTATCTTTCCACATCCTCACCAGCATTTGTTGTTTTGGGATTTCTTGATGCAGGCCATTTTCACTGGGGTTAGGTGGTATCTCATTGTGGTTTTGATTTGCATTTCTCTAATGATTAGAGATGTTGAGCATTATTTTTATGTTTCCAGGCCATTATTCTGTCTTCTTTGGGAAAGTTTCTGTTCATTTCTGTTGCCCATTTCTTGATGGGGTGGTTTGATTTTTTTCTTGTTAATTCTTTTGAGTTCTAGATAGATTCTTGTTATTAGACCTTTATCAGAAGTGTAGAGAGCAAATATTTTTCTCCCATTCTGTAGGTTGTCTATTTGTTCTAATGATAGTTTCTTTGGCTGTGCAGAAGCTTTTTAATTTGATCAGATCCCATTTCTTTATCTTTGTTGCTGCTGTGATTGCTTTGAGGGTCTTCTTCAAGAATTCTTTGCCTAGGCCAATGTCTGAAAGGGTTTTCCCAACATCTTCTCCTAGGATTCTTAAGGTTTCATACCTTAGGTTTAAATCTGTTATCCATCTTGAGTGGATTTTTGTGAGAGGTGAGAGGTAGGGATCCTGATTCATTCTTCTGCAAGTGGCTATCCAGTTTTCCCACCATTTATTGAGGAGAGATTCTTTTCCCCATTGTATATTTTTGTCTGCTCTTGGTCTTTGCCTATGATATGATATTATACTTAGAAAACCCCATGGATTCGTCCAAGAGGCTCATAGATTTGATAAATGAATTCAGTAAAGTTTCCAGTTATAAAATCAATATACACAAATCAGAGTCACTCATATATACCAAGAACTGTCAAGCCGAAAATCAAATCAAAAACACAATACTTTTTACTACAACCCCAAAGAAAATTAAATATCTAGGAGTATATTTAATGAAACATACAAAAGACTTATACAAGGAGAACTATGAAATGCTAAAAAAAGAAATTGTAGAAGATGTAAAAAGATGGAAAAATCTACCTTGTTCCTGGATTGCTAGAATGAATATGGTTAAAATGTCAATATTATCTAAAGTGATCTACAGAATTAACGCAATCACCATTAAAGTACCACCATCATTCTTTACAGAGCTAGAAAAAATAATTCTTCACTTTGTATAGCATCAGAGAAAACCTCATATATCCAGGCATAGTAAGTAAAGAGAACAAACTGGGAGGCATCAGTCTTTCTGACTTCAAGCTGTACTATAAAGCAATAATAGTTAAATCAGCCTGGCACTGGCACAAGAACAGAAGCATCGATATTTGGAATAGGACTGAGATTCCAGAGATGAAACCATCTGCAAAGGGTAACCCATTTTAGGTTCTTTATGGCATTGAACACACAGGCAAAGAAGGGGGTCACTTTATGAGATAAGAGATTAAAATATTGTAAAAGTCTTTACAAAAATAAGCTATATATCAATCAAACTGTTAATAGTGATATCTTCACCTGGGTGGTAAGATGCAAGATTATATGAATTTTCTTATATGTTCCTATATATACTTAACAAATTTGATACGATTAACATAAATTAATTTGTCAATTTTTTAAAGTGCTTAAAATTATTTTTTTTTAAAAATTTAGGATAGAAATATATCTCAAAGAGCTACATCACTTTTCAATGATGCATTTAGTTTTACTAATGATTTTTGATATATAAAACATTTATAAATAATATAAGTAGTTAAAATACACAAAAAGTTTCTTTTAAATATTTTCAGATTTCAAACCTCTTGAAACATTTTAAATTATTTTTTATTATAGTTGTTGTTTGTTTTGTTTTTTAAGCTATTTTATCCGTAAGAATATTTCCTCAGTTTTATGTTTATAAGCAAAAAGCTATTTGTGTATAGGAATTTCATTACAAATAATTTTTCATGATACACTATTCTATATATTGAGCACTGCGTGTGTTTTTATGAAATTTTTATTCCCCCATTAACTCCCAAACATAGTGAACTGCAACAAGATACTTGTTCTACAAAATATACTTCCTTTTCTGCCCTTAAAAATGTAAACAGTAATGGAAAACAAATGCAATCTCTAAATGTAAACATAAGTGTAAACAATAAAATACATACCATCAAGTTCGATAAATTTTAAATGTGTAAATTTTTTTAAATAAGATTAAATAATTACATACCAATACAATTCCTGCAGAATAACGGGTAACACACATTTTCCCAGGAAATGTTGCTCCCACATAATATGGATAATCCCTATATCTAAATAAATAAGTATACATTTATAATTAATTTTAATGAATAACTTAAAAGTGAAAATTTCTGCTAATAATTAAAGTTGATAGCTAATAAAATCCTAGTCTTAATCAAATTAGGGTATAATCCTTACATAAGGCCTTAACTGTTCCAAATATGGAAGATGTTTTAACTAATATTAAATATTAGTATTAACCAGTTAAATATTTTTTATTTCTGAAACATATCCAATGCATGCATGTTTTTGATGCCTATACTGTTCTCACCACATTTGGTTAAGGTTAGCAAAGGCTTTCATCCAACATTTTGATCAAAAACAATTTGCTGAGTTACAGTGACAAACAGTTTTAACTTTATGGATTAAAATCTGTCACTCCCATGTAGAAAAATTGAGCAGTTTGTCAAAGGAATGACTGTATTGCTTCACAACCAAACATTATTGTTTCAGCATTAAAGTAATGGCCCATATAAACTGTCATTAATAACAGCATCATTCTCTCAGAGCTTTACTTCTCAAAACAAACCAGTGAAGTAGATATTATTTTTATCCCCAGTAAACAAATCAAACATCAGATAAAAAGTATAAGTAATTCTGTCAAGGTAGCATGATTAATAAATGCTACTGAAGGACTTCAATTTGGGTAGTCTGAATCCAGAGCGAATACTCTCAACCATTAAGGAGGAGGGCCAAGATGGTGGACTAGAAACAGCTTGCACGTGCCGCCATCTGGGAGATGATAGAAAACCGCGCGTGGATGCTCACCTACAGATGGACCCTCTTGGAGAGAGCATTGTAGATCATAGGAGAAATGAAGGGAGAAACGCAGAGTGAAGAAGACAGGGACAGGGAGTATTACTCGCCAAATCAGAAGGTACCTGGGGGAGACCCCTACACACAGAGAAGGGATAAAGAAGAGAGCCCCAGGGCCCCATGCTCCCTGTGTGGACACTCTGACTCCAGTTCTGGGGGGTCCCTCCATGTCACCATCACAGGCCTCTGTGCTATTCAGGTAACTGTTCGGATATTGTATAGTGAAGTTGCATGGGACATAAGGCTCAGCAGGGACCTGCCGGTCTTGGTTCACAGGTTGCTGCAGCTGATGCCACTCTGAGTCCTCAGATCTGGACTCCTGGTCCACACAGGAATTGGCTCTGTTGTAGCTGCTCTAACATCGTTCAGGTAGAGCAAATACACTTGCACACCTGTGACTGGGTGCTGGATGCCCTCCCTACCAGAGAACCCGAGTGGAGCTTGAGAAGTCCAATGGTAGCAGCCTTGGCGGGACCTGTTTACAGAGAGTGCCCCAGGTATCCAGCGGTCAAGTCCCTACAGGCCTGGACCACAACCAGTGCTCCAAGCCTCCCAGCCCATGCACTGGCACATCAAGGTCCATGCCTCCACAGTCCTGCACACCAAATGGGGAAACAAGCCCCCAGATCCTGCACACCATGTGGAGGTCCATGCTCCCATGTACCTGAGTTCTGAACGTTGGGCCATGACCCCCAGTCTGGTGCACCAGTGGGCAGGCGACACCCCTGAAGTCTCGTAGTCCCCTCAAGGGGCCTCACAGTAAGGCAGGCCATGCCACTTTGTTCTGTATGACAGCCAGCCAGCCGGCCACACTCCTGCAACCCTGAGCACCAACCAGCGTAACAGGGTCCCTGGCCCCGCATGCTGGCTAGGGGGCCATGCCTCCATAGCACTGTGGGATGCAACAGCTGCACCCGACCATAGACCCACTAACCACAAGCTGCTCACCACTGTGTATTGCTATTACACCTTGACCTGGATGGAGCAAATGCATACAACCCTGTTGATGCCTGTGGCCATCACATGGATAGCCTCATCAAACAGCCAATTTCACCACCATTGGGAGACTCAAGAAGAGAAATCTCCTGCAATACCCACCTTAGTGGAGAGGGACTCACCCAGTCCTCTGCCCAAGCTTCTGACAGTGGCCTAAAGACCAATACACCAATCCAAATGAATATCCCTCAGTGTCTGATTGGATGGTGACAACCACAGGGGATTGAGACAACACAGGAGAACAACCATGTTACAGGCTCTCAGTGTATCCACTTCCCTCCCACTGGGACAATAATCTGGGATAGGACAAAAAAAGCATTATCTAAGGACCTCTCCTCCTTCTCACAAGTAGGAGAGTTCCCAGCAAAGGAGAACAAGTGAACTGCAAACCTATCAACTCTGATCTGAAAGAAGAGGTTTCAGATGAGAAGAAACAAGCATAAAACTACTGGAAACATGAAAAAACAAGCCAGTTTGACACTCTCAGAGGATCATAATAGATCCACCACAATGAATCCCAAAAAAAAGAAAAATGTGAAAATGTCAGAAATGGAATTCAGAATACTGATGGCAAATAAAATGACAGGAATTGAACAAAAAGTTAAATACCAACAAAAAGAAGCCTAAAAAATATTTCAGGATAACAATGGAAAAAATTAAAATGTCACTAAACAGCTAAACAACATAAGAAAGGCTATATTACAATAGAACTAAAAGAAATATAAGAGTCCTTTAGAGAATTTCAAAATACAGCAGGAAACTTCAACAAGAGGCAAACCAAGGAGAAGAAAGAATCTCAGAGCTAAAAGACAAGGCTCTTGAGCTAACCTAGTCATGCAGAAAAGAGAGTAAAGAACTGAACAGTCACTCAGAAAAATATGAAACTATGTGAAGCAAAATAATATGAAAATTATAGGTATCCCTGAGGGAGAAGAAGAAAGAATAAAAAGCATGGAATATCTATTCAAGGGACTTATTGAGGAAAACTTCCCTGGTATCACCAGAGGTACAGACATCCACATAAAAGATGATCATCAAACACCAAGAAGAATCCTAACAAATCAGGACATTACCGAGACACATATTCATCAACTTGGCCAAAGTCAAAATGAAGGAGAAAATTCTACAAGCAGCAAGATGAAAGCAACAAATAACCTACAAAGGAAAATCCATGAGGATAAATAGAAAATTCACAGCAGACACCTTATAAGCCAGAAGGAATTAAGGCCCCATCTTCAGTCTTCTTAAACAGAACAACTTCCAGCCAAGAATCTTATATACTACAAAAGAAAGTTTCATAAATGATGGAGAAATACACTTTTCCAGACAAGCAAATGCTAAAGGGATTTGTCACTACTAGTCCTGCCCAACAGGAAATACTCAGAACTGCATTAGGCATAGATCAGCACAACAGATACCCACCAGTGTAAAATCACCCAAAAGCTAAAGCTCACAGGTCTTATAATACAATAGCACAAGAGAGAAACAAAGCAATAAGGTACCACCCAACGTGATCAACAGAACAGTATCTCACATGTAAATACTAACACTCAAAATAAATGGCCTGAATATATCACTCCAAAGACATAGACTGGCTGAATGGATAAAGAAACACAACCCAAATATCTGAGTATCTGCTGTCTCCAGGAAACACATCTAAACAACAAAGATTCATACAGATTCAAGGTGAAGGGATAGGAAAAAAATATTCCATGCAAACAGAAAGCAAGGAAGAGAGGTGTAGCCATTCTCACATCAGATAAAGTAGACTTTAAATCAACAACAGTAAAAAAAGACAAAAACATGTGAAAAAATGCTAAACATCACTAATTATTAGGGAACTGCAAATTAAAACTGCAGTGACATATCAGCTTACCCCAGTTAGAACAGCTTTTGTTTAAAAGTCCCAAAACAATAGATGCTGGCATGGATTCAGAGACATAGGAATGTTTATACACTATTGGTGGGACTGGAAATTAGTACAACCTCTATGGAAAACAGTATAGAAATTCCTCAAAGAACTGAAATTAGACCTACCATTCAATGTAGCAATTCCACTACCGGGTATTGACTCAAAGGAAAAGAAGTCATTATATCAAAAAATACCTGCACTTCAATGTTTATTGCAGCACAGTTCACAACTGTAAAGCTGTGGAATCAACCCAAGTGCCCATCAATTCATGAGTGGTATATGTACACCATAGAGTACTACTCAGCCATAGAAAAGATGAATTAATACCTTTTGCAACAATCTGAATGGAACTGGAGACCATTCTCTTAAGTATCATAAAAATGGAAAAAACAAACACCACATGTACTCATTATTAAATTGGAAGTAACTGATGAACACACAAGTACACAGAGGGAAGTAAAACTCAGTGGAAAACAACTGGGGGAGGGGAATAAATCAACCTAAAAGGTACTATTTGGGTGATGGGCACACCTATAGCGAGCACTCAAACATTACAAAAATGATCCATGTAACCTAAAAAATTTATATCTCCAGCCCCTTAATATTTTGAAATTTTAAAAAACAGAAAGATGTACTATAATCATTGATTGTAATATTTAACACTATCTAATGCATGGATTGAAAGATTCAACATTGTAAACATGTCAGTTCTTCCCAAATTGATATATAGAATTCTTTTAATCACTATAAAAATCCCAACAGATTGTTTATGGGACTTGACAAAATATGTGACGAAAGTGCTAAATTCATGGCAAAACTGACTATCCATGTGGCAAAAAATAAAACTGTACCTCTCTTTTATACTATGTAAAAATTAGCTGAATTGTATTGAAGACTTACTTATTAAGCATAATAATAATGCTACAAAATAAATCAAGCAGACTAAAATCTAGATCTGTGAGAGACCCTCTTCACTAGATAGGAAACCCAAAATTAAAACAGAAATGATTAAGAAATTTAGCCATATGAAATGTGGAAGTTTTCATGTAGCAAAAAGGTTACAGAAAAATTATAGATATGGAAAAAGTATTTGTCATGCAGATAAACAAAAGGTTAATATCTAATCCGGGGGTCCTCAAACTTTTTAAACAGGGGGCCAGTCCACTGTCCCTGAGACCGTCAGAGAATGCGCACTGTGGGCCTGGGACAAGTCGGCAGCTAAGCAGGACAGGCAGCGGCAGCAAAAACACCCGGCAGGCAGGATAAATGTCCTCGGTGGGCAACATGTGTCCCACGGCCGTAGTTTGAGGATACCTGATCTAAACATTCAAAAAACCCTTCTAAATCACAAGAAAAATTAAAAAATTACAAGGAAATACTCAAATCCAGTAGACATTGGAAGAAAGCAAATTAAGATGTCAATGACATTAATCAATTTATATCCATCAGGCTGGCAAAAAAGTAAAAAAGCAATCACATTTATTGCTGGTATAAATGTGAGGGAAAGATTCATCCCACATGTACAAAAGGAAATACTGACATGCCAACTTTAAAATACAGATTTATTGAAAGATATCTTCTGATTATTGCCAATAAATTTAATGTGAATAATATTATAAATATACAGCTATAATTTATCTTTAGAAACTTATTTAAATAATTCAAAAAATTCATTAGGATAAAATATTTGTAACCTACTTTACCAATCCTTTGTTCAAAGCTCATAATAAAAATATAAACCTCACAAGATAAATCCCATCTCTTTGTGTAGTGGTTCAGAGTATTGGCTCTGGAGTTCAGGCCTGAGATGGCTCAACCTCTTAAAACTCTAAGTATCTTCATTTTTCAAAGGTTGATAAGTGTAGAAATAAATGTTAGTAATCTTTTTTATTGCCTGACAATCAGAAAGTGAGCAAAAGGCCTAAATAATACACACAATGAATAATTAAAGTATGTATTGTCAGAAATGAATAACAATTCCCTAAATTAAGTTACATCATTACCACATTGTTTTCTTTCTAGGAATACTTAAACATTATTCTTACATGAATAAATATGCAATATCATGAGGCCTTAGGGTGAGATAAGACAGTTTCCATTCTAAAAATCTATGCAATAATTCATCTGCCTCACCAGCTGTAGAAATCTTATTTTTATCTGACCATAACTCCAATGATGACAGCACAACAGTAACTTTAAATTGGGTGAACATCTAAAAACAGAAGAGATAAATACATGCAAAATTATTCTTTATGCTATTTGACAATAACCTAGATATTAATTCAATGTTTTCACAATTCCACACTCAGTTTATATCAATCACTTAATTATACAAAAATATCACATCAAGTTCATGTAAATTATAATTTCAAAACAAAGAATTATTTTATATGATGAGAAAAATACTTACTGAATTCACAAGTCCAACAATTTCGATGACTTTATTTGTTACTATCATGCTATCAGAGCCCAAGTAATCATACTGAAAAACATAATTAATTTTATATTTAAACACAATTTGTTATATAATATTTTTAGATTTATTCTCCATCTACTGTCACAGATTTGAGGTTGCTTTGGGGTTCCACAGTTCAAAATAAAACATTAATTAATAAAACATGATTATAAACTGGATCTTTCATACATTGCTAGCAAGAATGTAAAATGGTATAGCCACTCTGGAAAATAGTTTGGAAACTTCTTTCAAAACAAAGAATGAACTTACTAAATGGTCCAGCAATTTCACTCCTGGGCATTTATTTCAAAGAAATAAAAACTGACGCCCACACAAAAACCTATACATGGATGTCCTTAACAGCTTTATTCATAATGGCCAAAAACTGGAAACAACTCAACAATTAAATGATTAAACAAACAGTAGTACCTACTATGGACTAGGACTCAGTAATAAAAAGGAACTGACTGCTGATACATGGAACAGCTGGGCCAAACCTGAAGAAAATTATGCTAAGTGTAAAAAAACAACCTTAAAAGGATACATATTGAATGATAACTTTAAGCAATATTTGGAAAATCATAAAGGAGAACAGCTTAGTGGTTGCCAGGGGCTAAGAAGCAGGAGAGAGGATGGGTGTGACTCTACAGGGTTGGCATAAGAGAGTCTTGCAGTGATGGGACTGTTGACTATCTTAATTATGGCAGTGGTAACACAAAGCTACTTGTGTGATACTATTGCATGAATTTACATACACAAATGCACACACAAATAAGTGTGTGTATATATTTATATGCATATTTATTTGTTGAAATCTGAATAAACTCTGGATTACAACAATGTCAAACTGTGTGTGTGTGTGGAGAGAGAAAGAGAGAGAGAGAGAGAGACAGAGAGACAGAGAGACTGACTCTCTACAGCAGGGGTCCCCAACCTTTTTGGCACCAGAGACCATTTTCATGAAACACAATTTTTCCACAGACAGGGGATGGCTCCAGGATGATTCAAGAATATTACATTTATTATGTACTTTATTTCCATTATTCTGACATTATAACATATGATGAAATAATAATACAACTCACCATAGGTTGGGGACCCCTGCTCTATAGTATATCATGCCTTGGATGTTCCACAGGACACTCAAATTATCACAAACTAAACTCATATCTAAAGTAAACATATTCAAAAATAAACTTATCACTTTCCCTCAAAAATCTGTTCCTACTTATATTTCATTACTTTAGTGAATGGTATCGTCTACCGCATCCCACATTTATTATACTACTTGCTCCCTGTGAGCAGAAATTTTTCTCTTTTATTCACTGCCATATCTCCAATAATGAGAACAGCAACTTCTATCTAGATGAGAGCTTCTATCTAGATGATGTTCAATACATTTGTTAAGTAAATGAATAAATCAAATCATTTACAAGTCCTTCTAATTCAACCTCATCAGTCACTTTTAAAGTTATGGCTTTATTTTCATTTCTAATACCACTAATTGATAAGTTTTCACCTTGATCACTAGAATAGTCTCTTAAATGGTTCCTCCTTCTCCAATTTCCCCACCAGCAAATCAGCCACTACACTATTACCAAAATGATGACTCGAAGATTAAAATATAAACATGTCACTCACCCACTTAAAATATGGCAATGAATCTCCATAACATTTAGGATAAAAATGTAAATACACTATCGATTCTTTAATTCATCTATTTTCACATCTCTTTTAGCTCTACATATTAATGAGACTAAATTTCTTGGAGCTTCCTGAAAGGAACCTTCTCTCACATTTATGTGCTCTTGCAAAAGAAGGTTTTGCACAAAATTTTCCTGGGCCCCACCCTCCACCCATCGCTCATTTCTTATCTTCATTATGTGACTTACTGTATTAATCATGCCTTCTTATCTTCTGTATTGCTGAAGCTTTGACATCTTGAGGCCTTGCTCACCCTGGAAAGACCACCCCTCTCAGAGGCAGCCAATTCCTAGAGATAATAAATGACTGGCTTTGGAGTGTAACTTCCATATACAAGCTACTCAAGCCAGAGCCTACTTCACCAGGCCCTCACACTCAGAGCCAGTATTCCCTTTCCCTAATTACCCCAGGGCCAAGAATCAGGAGACTAGGGACAGTGTATACCCCCAGGGCCCACTGAAATTATTCGAACTAGCCATCCTAAACCTACTTACCCAGCTTTGCCTGTTTTTTCTCACTGAAACCACAATAGCAGCTCTTGACCACAAGTCCCCTTTGAGTCCTCTGTCTCCTAGATGGCCCTGGTGCTTCCCCCATGTCCCTGGCATGGTGTGGAGTGCTTCCTACATGATGTGGAATCCTCCCTGCATGATGTGGAGTCCTCCCTGCATGATGTGCAGTGCTCCCTGCATGATGTGGAGTGCTCCCTACTACCGGAAACTGCAAAGTAACATGCTATATTTTCGATAGCAATTATCTCCTGATCTGTTGGCCTGACTATATCTGAATAATAAAACGAGCATTTTAAAACAGCCACTTGCATGCTCTTATATTAATAATATACCAAGTTACAGTTGTTTGTTTCCATGTCTGTTTCCATTATTAAACTGTGTTTTTACAGTACACCATATGCTTCCCTCAATCATGGCACTAAATTCACTTGGCTACAGTTGTGGATATATAATTTGTAAAATCACTGAATAAAATCTCAGTATTCTTCTTCTTTATATGCTTAACATATAGTAACATAGATTTTATAGCTGGCTCAATGTTTGTTTTGTTGAAGAATATATAAAATGCATATACAGAGAAGAAATATTTAATCAGCATTATGTGGCTCACATGCCTGGAAATTTGGACATAAAGTTCTTAAAACAACTCTCAAACTTTTTAACATAATTCTAAAACAAAAGAATTTTCATAACTTATACTATTTCCAAGAAACTTAGTCATATTTAGTAGAAACAGCTTAATTTGCTCCTAAATGTCTCAATTTTCTCTTAATGTTCCTTTTGTCCTTTTCCCTGTATCTTAATAAAGCAAGTATTTTCATATCCTTCTCCAAATTCCTTCTGTCTCTAATCTCAATTCTGTCTTCCTGACAAGCTCATGCCTAAGAACAGAATTGGTAATGAATATTACTCATATTCTCTGTAGTGTTCCACAGTTGTGACACATGAATGCTATCATCAGAATAAAACCTGAAAAGTGTATTTCCCCTATTTTCTGAAATCTTTCAAAAGAAATAAAACCATAATGTGGTTGACTGCAAACTAAGTTATCACCCCAAGCTTCCAAAGTTCAAAAGCCCTCAAACTGTTTATGGGAATTAAGGATCTAGAGGTGTCTTCTATATCAGGAAAATAATGGACAGGAACAGGTACACTACGAAAAACTGCTTTAAAAAGCTTGACACATGATAATGTAAGTACTTCTCATATATATATTTATACTATTACCACTTTTTCCCCAATAAATATTTCACAAGTTAAAACATTACTTATATTAAACACTGCTCTTCAAGACTTCCTAAAATAGGAATTAAAAGTTTAAAGAATTTCACTTTGACCATAAAATGCTGAAATAAAAAAAATTTCTGACAAAACTAATATACTTTTGACTATTTAGTTTTTCAGTTTGTATATTTTCCCACTACTATTTCTATGACATTAAGTAAGAGGACTGGGATAATCAATACATTTGCATCAAATATTTAAAACCAAATAAAAAGCAAAATACATACCAAAGCTTTGTCCATCACAATATGTACTTCTAGATAAAGAGGAAATAAATCTGTAACATCTGATTCCAACTAGAAAAAAAAAATAGCAGCATATAAATCTTAATCATAATTTGTTTATCATGAACTCTTTATTATTAACACACCATTTACAGGATATTGCAAGGTGTTTGCTTCATACAATTGGTTAATATCAACATAAAGTGCTTTGAGTTTTACGGCAATATATGCAAGTAATAAGAACACTGGTCATAAAGTTATAACATATATCTCAATAGATTTACAGCTTCCAGTTTGTGAACTAAGAACAAAACACCTAGCATTTCTAACCATCTGTTTCATTTCAATATCAGAAATAAAACTATGCTTTATAAATTACACAGATGTTAAGGATTTTTTTAAATGGTTACAGTTTTCCACTCTTTTCTGTATCCACATCCTTTGCAATATGACTTTGCAGTGCCTCCCATCAGGAGATAACTCTATTTCCCATCTCAACCTAGGCTGGCCCTGTAACTTGCTTGAGCCAATAAATGCAGTGGAAGTGCTCTGTGCCAATCCTAAGTCACCTTTCATACCAACCCCCTGGTCTTGGAACCCCTGCTTGTACACATCTGGCCAGTTTGCCAGATTGTAAGAAACAAGTGGGCTATCACCCCCATTGCCCCCTCCCCCCCCAAAAAAAATAACAAAACAGGACAACGCTTAAAGAAAAAAGAAGCTGCTGAATTCCTGTAAGAGATACTGTGGTGCTTGAATGTACCCATCTCCCACCCCATGCCCGACATCCAGCTCAGTGGCGTCCATGTTCCTGGTGGGGTTTGCTGGTGCCAGGGGAACAGGTACCACACTTGCTCTCAAAGAGTTATGGCCGTGCATTTCGAGCTGTGCAGAGGCTCCCTAAAGGATTTGCTCAAGGGCTTTCCTTTGTCCTCCACCTTGAAACTTTCACAGGGCTGGAGAGGACTCTGGTGGTGTTTGTGAAAAGTATTTAAAGGCAAATACCCTGGCTGCAGCCACCTATAGCAAAGGAAAAGGGATGGGACAAGCAGCAATCGTGCTGAAAAGCCCAGGAAGGAAGAGGCTGGGGAAGGACACAGGTGAGAAAACGAAGGCTCTGAAAACACTTGGTGCATACTGGGAAACACACAAGGCAACCCACAGTCCCAGGACAAGTGTTTTCTCAAGAAAACACTGGAGAAGACACTAACTTTCTCCTGGCTGATCTGTAGGCACTGTGCAAGCAGGAGGGAGGGCCAAGGCAGGGCTGTAAACACCTAGAATGAAAGTGTTGCAGGTGTGCCCAGAGTCCGTCTGTGAGAACCGAAAAAGGATTTTTGTTTTTTAGGGGTTTTTTGCTCAGTCATTTAAGGAAATCTCTGTCAAATCACGAGGTAACAACTTACCTAGCAATATTGTTAACAAAATATTTCTTTACCTTAGAAAAGTCAGTAAACAAACAAATCACAAGCAGCAAAAAAAAAAAAAAGACCCTAGTGAGGAGTGAGAGCAAATCTAATTTCCAGCATTATCACATCAAAATACGCCAAATGTTCAGTTTTCCACAGAAAGAAATTATGAGACATAAAATGAAACAAGAAAGTATGACCCATTCCCAGGGAAAAAAGAGATAGAAACTGCCCCTAGAGGAGCCCATACATTGGACTTAGTAGACAAAGACTATAAATTAACTGTTTTAAATGTACTCAAACAGCTAAATAAAACCATGGACAAATAACTAAAAGAAACCAGAAGAATGATACCACAACACATAGAAAATGTCAATAGGAATATGGAAATTATAAAAAGGAAACTGTGGAGCTGAAAAGTACAATAACAAATGAAAATACACGAGAGGGATTCAGCAACAGAGTTGAGCAGGCAGAAGAAAGATCAGCAAACTTCCCATCAATCAAGATTATCGGACTGAAGAAAAAGCAAATGAAGAAAAATTAACAGATCTAAGAGACCTGTGGATGCAATCAAACATAAAAACATATGCATGATGGGAGTGCCCAAAAAGACAGAAAAAGGGAAGAAAGAAAATTTGAGGAAACAATGGGAAAAACTTCCCAAATTTGATGAAAGTCGTGAATCTAAACATCCAAGAAGCTCAATGAACTCCAACTAGAATAAACTCGAAGGAATCCACACCAAATACATTATAAATTGTTAAAAGCCAATTATAAAGAGAGTACCTTGAAAACAGCAAGAGAGAGCAGTTCATCACAAACAAGGGATCTTCGATAATAATATCTAATTTCTCATTAGAGAACATGGAGGACGGAGGCAGTGGGATGACATTTAAACTGCTGAAAGAAAAAGACTGTAGACAAAGAATTCTATGTCCAACTTTGGTAACACCTTGATCTCAAACTTCTAGCCTCCAGAACTGTGAAAAAATAAATTCTTGTCGTTATGGCAGCCCTAGTAAACTAATACTCTGCCCTACAAGAAATTCCAACGGCAGTCCTTTAGTCCAAAGTGAAAGCACACTAGACAGTAACCAGAAGCAATAAAAGAAGTCAAGAACATTGCAAAGGTAAATACACTGGTAAATATAGATTCCAGTATTATTACATTTTTGCTTTGTAATCCCTCTCTTATTCCTAGATGATTTAAAAGAAAATACATAAAATAGCAATTATAAATCTATGTTAAGGAAATGTAATTCATAAAAATATAATTTGTGATAACAACAACGTAAAGAAGGTGAATCCATATAGAAGCAGAGTTTTTACATACTGTGGAAGCTAAGCTGGTGTTAATTCAAACTAGAATTGTTATAAGTTAATTGTAATATTTAGGATAACCACTAAGAAAATAACTAAAATATATACAGAAAAATAAATGAGAAGAGAATCAAAATGATACACTAGAAAAAAAAAACAACTAAACAAAAGAAGGTAGTGATAGAGGAATTGAGAAACAAAAAGGATCTAAGACATTTAGAAAACAATTAGCAAAATGTGAAAAGTTTTTATCATTAATTATTTTAAATGTAAATGTTAAACTGTCTAATTAAAAGAAATTGATAGAATCTATCTAAAAAACATGATCCAACAGTATAATATTTACAAGTACTTTAGGTACAAAGATACATATAGGCTGAAGTGAAAAGGATGAAAAAATTCCATGTACATCATAAATAAAAGAAAACTGGGGTGGCTATACTAATATCAGACAAAAATAGACTTTAATTCCAAAATTTTTTGAGATAATGAAAGACATTATACATTAATAAACAGGTAAGATTTCCCCCCAGGATTTTGTCCATTTCATTGGATTTTGAGTTGTCTTCAGCTAAAGTTGTTCGTGATGTACTCTTCTTTTCATTAACTGAATGATCTGTAGTGATAGTACACATTTTATTCCTGAAATTCATACCTTTCCTTTTTTGACCATTATCTGAAGGAGTTTTCCACTTTATTGGTCATTTGCAAGCTCCCTTCATCATTTCTATCAGACACTTGGTTTTATACTGATTGATTTTCGCTCTTATCTTTTTTCAGTTCCACCCTTCCTTTCTTTGTTTCTGTTTTTCTTTTCCATTTTAACTTCTTAAGGTGGAGGCTTTGCTTATTTCTAGTTTTTCTTCTTTTGCAATATATACATTTAAGGCCATAAATTTCCCTCTTAACTATCATATTAGTTTCATCCCACAAGCTTAATAGTATCTTTATCATCTAGATAAAACTATTTTCAAATTTCCAGTATGATTTCTCCTGTGAGCCATGGGTTATTCACAAGTATTATTTTTATTTCCAAAGATACAAAAATTTGAATTTCTGTTACTGTTTTTTTTTATTATTGATGCATAAAAAATTGTATTAGAATCAGAAAAAAATAAGATTTCATTCTCTGGAAACTTTTCTGAGACTATCTTTATAACTCAATTTACATTTTATTTTTCATACATGCTCCATGTGAATTTAAAATACTAAGGCATATCGCTTAAGATATGGAAAGCTGGAAAGAGTGTCATCTCCAGGTTAACAATAAGAAAAAGCCAACTAATCTACAAAATCATAACTTTTCTTCAACCCATCTGATACTAGAAGTTCAGATAAATTAACAAGGTCAAAACCAAGATAGTAAAAATGCCTCCACAGACAGACGCCACACAAGCCCATGGGAAAACATGGGAGACGTTCCGGGGATCACCTAAGCAGTTAACATTTCAGTAATACCTTTCAACAAATTGATAAAACCCACTGTAAGCTCATGTGTATTAAACTCCTGGAAGCAAAAGGCACAAGCTAAATATTTGCCTATCCAGTAAACAACTTCTCAAAGGCTCTTTTCTATACGACCTCATTGGGTATTCCTGAGAATTTCTGGGGAAGGACCAGAGACCCGAGAAAGCCTGTCTCATAGTACAGGCCTAGAGGGAAGTAGCTACCAACACAAGAAGGACAAAAAGCCCTGCCCAGATAGCTCTCCCGATGTAACAGAAGTCCTAAGCTGCTGGTGGAAAGACAGAAAACCCTGTTGTCCTCAAAACATAGGTGAAGACGTTCTATGGCTGGGAAGAAACAAAAAGAAAAAAAACTCTCTAAGCTCGGGAGGGGGTAAGAAAACTATCTGGGCCCGGTGCATCAGAGCAGCAGTCCCCATCCTCAGACCACAGACTGGTACCAGTCCATGGCCTGTTACGCACCAGGCCACAGCAGGAGGTGAGCAGTGGGTGAGGAAGTGAAGCCTCCTCTGTATTAACAGCCATTCCCCATTGCTGGCATCACTGTATAAGTTCCGCCTCCTGTCAGATCAGCCGTAGCATTAGATTCTCACAGGAGTGGGAACCCTACTGTACACTGCACATGCGAGGGACCTAGGTTACGTACCCCCGTGAGAATCCAATGCCTGATGGCCTCAGGTGGAGCTGAGGTGGTGATGCTAGTGCTGGGAAGTAGCTGCAAATACAGATTATCATTAGCAGAGAGGTTTGACTGCACAATAAATGTAATGTGCTTGAATCATCCCCAAACCACGCCCCCCATGGAAATACTGTCTTCCATAAAGACAGTCTCTGGTGCCAAAAATGTTGGGGACCTCTGCATCACAGGCCTCCTACTGATGGAGGAGAGGTGGGGTAAGTGAGAAAGCCTCATCCTCAAGACTCAAGCACATAGACCTTGCCTAAATAACTCAGGACCCAGACAACAGAAAATATTCTCCCACTGTCCACAACCAGGCTAGCAATCACCTAATAACAAGCAAGCAGCAGGAGGGGCAGGTTCATGGAGAGGTCCTCTCTGAGGTGCAAGCTCACACAAAAAAAAGCCTAATACTAACAGAAAATTAGGGACATTAAAAATAAAAACCTGCCAGCAATAAAATTTCCACCCCAAACAAAATGTAATACCATAGAAGTTTTAAGCCAGTATTGAACTAAAAGAAACCAAGACAACAGCAAAACCCAAACCCTCTGAGCTCTTAACCAGACTGACTCAATGTCCCACAGGAAAGGCCTAGCAGAAGAGGTGTGCCCATTTCCAGTAATAAATACTACCTACCTTAGTCTGTGCTGCCCTAGATGTAATGTTTGGCTTTGCACAAAAAAATCGTAAGGCAAAAGGAAAATATAAGAGAAGAGGTATTCACTCTCAAGAAACAAAATAATCAACAGAACAAGATTGAAATATAATCCAGAAACTATAATTATCAGCTAATTTAAAATAACATTAATATGTTATTAATATGTTAAATTTTCTAGGAAAAAATGTTGACATCCCTCATGAAAAGATAGGAATTGCAGCAGAAATAAAAACTGTAAGGAACAATCATATTAGAATGCTACAAATTAAAAAAAAAAAGAAGCAGAGGTAAAAGATGCTTTTTCAAAGGGCTCAGGAGTAGACATGACATAGCTGAGGAAAGAATCTGTGAACCTGAAGATATGTCAATAGAAATTACGTGAACTGATATACAAAGAGAAAGAAGTAGAGGGTGGAGAACAGAGCATCCATGAGCTGTGGGATATTGTCAAGTGCTCTATTAATAATATACTTGTAATCTAAAAAGGAGAAGTGGGGAGAGGGAAGGAGGAAGGCATTGAGAGAGAGTAAGACAGAGAGAGAGAGAGAATAGTAACTACCGAAAACAAATAAAACAAATATGGGTACTTCACATTCAAACTGGTGAAAACCAAAGATAAAGAGAAATCTTGAAGGCGGCCAGAGCAAAGGAGAAATTACATGCAAAGTAACAAAGAAAAGAATTACAGAATTCTCTTCAGAAACCATGCAAGCAATGAAGTAACAACTTGAAAGTGTTCAAGAAAAACACTGTCTTCCCAGATTCACTACCCAGCAAGAACATACTTCAATCATGAAGAATAAATGCTTTTTCATACAAACAATAACTCAAACAAAACAATATAAGCAGACCGGCACAAGGAGTGTTAATGGATGTTCTTCTGAGAAAACCATGTACTTTATGTTTATCAACATCTTTACCCTTTTCCTGGATAATGCAAGAAACACAGATCACTTTAACTCTGTCTATATCCTTAAAATGTATATGCATTTGTTACCGGGTATTTTAATTCTCTATATTTTTAACCATAAAAATTACTGTTTTTCTACATAATCAATGTTCCTTTACATTGATACATATCTACCACTCATTTTGCTGCTTATTATCCCTTCCGATATTTAGACCATCCTTCAAGGGTTATTTTTCCTCCAGCATAAAAAATATCCTTCAAAAAAATTTTAGTGAAAGTCTGTTGCTAGCAAAGTCTCTCATTTTTTGTTTGTTGAAAATATAATTCATTTTGCTTTTATTTGTGAAGAATGCTTTATTGGTATATTAAACTCCAAGTTGGTGATTTTTACCTTCAGCATATTGAAATGACATTTATCCTCTCTTTCAACTTTCTTCCTCTTGTTAAAAAGTAGGCTCTTAGTCTTAGGCTCTTAATCTTCAAAAGTCTCCTTTTGAATATTAACCATTTTCTTTGTTAGTTTCCAATATTTTTCACTGTGCCTTGATTTCCTGCAGTTTCACTATGAAACATAATAGTGTAATTCTTTTAATTAATCTTACTTGGGATTTATCACATTTCTTCAATCTGAAGATGTGTATCTCTCATCAACTCTGGACAATTCTCAATCAAATTCTTATCAAAATTGCCTTTGACCCATTTTCCTTGTCTCCTCTCCTGAGATTCTAATTGCTTTTCATTATATCTTCTTTTTCTTTTATGCTCTTACATATATTTTCTGTATTTTTCTCGTACGACATTCTGGATACTTTTATAGTTTTTATAAGACGTCTTACAGTTCACTAATTCTCTCTGTGACTGTGTCTAAGCAGCTGTAAAACATATTTTCTGAGTTCTATTGGTTATTTATTTTCAGAATTTCTAGATGTTTTTTAAAAAAATACATTCAGTCACTTCTTCAGTTTTCAGTTTAAAGCAGTATGGTACAGGCACAACAACAGAGACATAGATCTATGGATCAGAACACAGAACCCAGATATGAATCCATCCTTCTTTTGCCATCTAATCTTTGACAAAGCACACAAAAACACACTGGGAAAAGAATCTCTATTCAAAAAATGGTGCTGGGAAAATTGGATAGCCACATCAAGAAGACTGAAACAGAATCTGCACCTCTCACCACTCACAAAAATTAATTCACAATGGATAATAGACTTAAACCTAAGGCATGAAACTATATGAATTCTAGAAGAAAATGTTGCACAAACTTTTATAGATGTCGGCCTAGGCAAAGAATTTATGAAGACCGAGAAGGCAATCACAACAACATGAAAAATAAATAAATAGGACCAGATCAAATTTAAAAACTGATGCATAGCTGAGGATACAATCAATAGAGCAAATAAACAACCTATAGCTCGAGAGAAAATATTTGCATGCTGTATATCTGATGAAGGCTGATACCCAGCATCTACAAAGAACTCAAGCAAATCAGCAAGAGAAAACCAAAAAACCCATTAAAAAGTGAATAGAAAGTTTTCAAAAGAAGATAGACTAATGGCCAACAACACATTAAAAATGTTCAACATCTTTAATCATCAAAGGACAAGCAAATCAAAACCACAATGAGATATCACCTAACTCCAGTGAGAATGGCTTTTATCAAAAAGTAACAAAACAGGCCGGGCGCTGTGGCTCACGCCTGTAATCCTAGCTCTTGGGAGGCCGAGGCGGGCGGATTGCTCAAGGTCAGGAGTTCAAAACCAGCCTGAGCAAGAGCGAGACCCCGTCTCTACTATAAATAGAAAGAAATTAATTGGCCAACTGATATATATATATAAAAAATTAGCCGGGCATGGTGGCGCATGCCTGTAGTCCCAGCTACCCGGGAGGCTGAGGCAGAAGGATCACTCGAGCCCAGGAGTTTGAGGTTGCTGTGAGCTAGGCTGACGCCACGGCACTCACTCTAGCCTGGGCAACAAAGCGAGACTCTGTCTCAAAAAAAAAAAAA